GCTGGGTCACTGTACCTGCTAAGTGACTGGAAAGATGGCATAAATTTTCCAATTGAATTATAACACTAGTTAAAATGTTTTTCGGACGTTGCAGCATTGTACATAGGAATAAAAGTAATGTAATAAAAAGTAATGCTTGAAAAATTGTACATGCATTTGAGAATACTTAAGAGATACCAGAGCGGCCAAACATGACAATTGTATTGGTGTAACATTAGGCTATTTGTGTTGCTTGGTTTGTGAATGCACTTGAGATACATAATTTTATACGAATCCCCGGCTGCCGCAGGCGCTGGTGCAGGAGAGCAAAGAGACCCTGCAGCGTACAGAGCCTCACTGGCCGCAGCTCGCGCAGGACGGCATTCGTAACGTGTGGATCGTGAAGCCTGGCGCGCAGTCCCGAGGACGAGGCATCCTGCTCATGCACAGTCTCGCCGACATACTCGCGCTCGTCCAGTCTCCCTTCATTTATGAGACCAAATACGTCGTCCAGAAATACATGGGTAAGGAAAAACATGTTCTCATCATCTACGCAGAAACTTATTTGCGTGATATAATTCTCCAAAAATAATTTTTATGTTGATTGAGTCAAATTCGATAGGTTTTCAATCATTACTGTAAAATCAACTAAAAAGGATATGCACCTTTTCGACTCATATTTACTAAAATTTAAAAAAATGAGTGAAAATGAATTTAATATATAGAAACCTGCAAGCTACATTCAATGGAATGAAAGTTTAACATAATTTTGAAAGATATCTGCAGCTTGCGTAGCGGTGAGTCTAGATTGAAATAGAAGATAGTTAAAAGTTACCAAAATTAAATAATTTATGTCGTTAAAGAGCCATTAAGATCTATCTATGATAGTGTTTCTTAGCTTATCAGCACAGCCCTATAATTTTCAATAATATATCTGAAGCTTGTGGAAGATGACTTGTCCCTCAATTTTATTCATGACTTTCAACTGGCAAGAGAATCTAAAAGCACGTTTTCTTCTTTTACGCAGAGCGTCCGTTTCTTATTTACAACACAAAGTTCGACATCAGACAGTGGTTTATGGTGACAGATTGGAACCCTCTCACCATCTGGATGTACAGGTATATACATAATAACTGTTACGATATATAATTTATTACGATATATACATCTCATCTTTAAATTTCTAAATATACACATCGTCCGTAGGTCGAGCTACGTGCGTTTCTGTTCCCAAGAATACGACGTGAGCCGCACGGACGAGGCTGTGCATCTCAGTAACAACGCCATACAGTGCAAGTACAGGAACGGTCTCCGGGACCATCGTCTGCCTCACGAGAACATGTGGGACTCCGACACCTTCAATGCATTCCTCGAGTAACTAACTAAATAGAAAATTATGATTCTTGCATTTTATCTTGAATACAAAATGTGTGAATATTTATTGAAATTGTATGAAAACATGCATTAACGTTGCTTTTAGTGAAAAAAATCATATAATTGAAACTATTTCGCAGCTAATAACTTATTTCGGCCACAATACTATTTCAATTTTTCAATAATTTTTTAGTAACAGCGCTAGATATTCAACGATTAAAGCTGGTGTGGAGTAAATATGATGAATTAATACCGTGATATTTTGGCATGAATTTCGCTGTAATTTTTTACATTTTCTTTCATGCTTTTAAAAAAGTGTCATGCCAAAAATTTTCATAATTTGTTATAACCACGAATACGTGTCACCTAATTCAAGTTGAAATATGTTGTGCTAACTTATTTAAAACTTATTCTAATATTTCTATTTGCATTGAAGAGCCGTACTTAATCTAATCAATGATTAGATTACATAGGGCGCTTCCGAAAGCTAACAACGATAATAATAGTGGATTTAATCAACAACCGTTATTCAAAAGGTAACCGAGTTCACTTTTACCGCTTAAATTTATTTTTCTCTAG